TATGACGTTCATCAAGCAAACGATTCCTATTCATAAATTAATTCATTGCATGACGTTTGTTGATTGCACCAGGTCTGTGTTTTCATTTCTGAATGAAGGCCTTCTGCAGATTAAGTTTTATTAATATATACATAAATCCTTACTTGAAGTTTTCAAATACTCAAAAATATTATTCCGTCCGTATATAAGAGCTTAGCCAACATCATGGAGAACTGTCTTGCTAAGTGATTACGTCTCCTATAGACGCAGTATAATTGCGTTCAGTAGCTGTCTCTGTCCTCAACAAGATTGGATATCTCATGAGGCAATATCTCAGTTTAGAACGATGTGGATTACTTAGGTGACGTATCATTTTGTTATCTTCCTGAGGTGTTTATTCCTAATTCCTCAGCGATGACAGCTTTCAAGAGAATGCACTTTCCATGTTTCGTGAGCAGTTGGTTAAAAATGTTTGTTTTCCGTGTATTAGTATGGATATATTAGGTATCAGCATTCTAAATACAATCGAAAAGTGAAATTTTCCCATGCTGAATGTCATGAAATATCAAATTGCGCTTTCGAAATGACTTGTTATTGTTAGTCATAGAGACATGGTGGATGAGCGTTATAGCATGTAGTTTTGCCGCATGTAAATAATAGGAAAGAATTGTAGGTTGAAAAATTTCAGTTTGAAACAGGATATGGATGGGATGATAATGTGTTCAAAAAGATGTGGTCGAATCTTTATCTCTCATCGGAAAACATTTTATGACCGATCTTATTCGATTGCATGTTTTAATCAATTCATTTGTTCTTTGGACATTTTTGTTTAATGTTTGTTTTCGCGAAATGAAAATCGAACCTTTTGGAATGATGTGAAAATTATGTCCTCTTCTGTTGTCTAGAGTTGACTAGAGCATACTGTATGATGATTGATGAAAACTTATTTTCCCGTGGTGGATTCAAATTTTTCATGAATGCGAAGTTTTTCATAGTTGAAGAAGGAGAATTTGAGNGAAGAATTTTTCATTTCCGCACAGTCTGCTGCATAGTGCATTTGCGATGATCATCAAGGTCACATTCGAACACAGAAATTATGCCTTAGAAGCATTTAATGAGGGTTCTTGAGTTAAGCCATTCGACAATTAAATCTACGTTATGCTATTATCATGTCACTTTTTATCTAGGTGTGTTGCGAACGATTCCCCGAATATGTCCGTGCATATTTGCGTTTAAAAAGTAGCACTTTCTGAAACAAGTTGTAAAGAAACTTGATTTTCTGGAATCGATAATTGTGACGTTTCGGTTGATTACTTCCCTTACGTGCCCTTTCAGTTTCTTCTTAGTGTTCCCAATGTTAATTTTTAATAGAAATGTGAATGTTAATTTTGCTCGTCAATGAAATGCAATTTTCCGCAGTGCAAAAAGTAATTGCTAATTTTTGCTCATTAGTGCGTTCATAAGTACCAAAACGATGTGTGATGCGTTCATTTGAACCAATTTTCCAGTTTAATAATCAAATTTTCGTTCCCGTTAGGCGAACGAGTTTCCTTATAAGCAGAAATTTTGACTGCATTTCAAACTCTTACATCCTCATTCTCCATCGATTCTGAGTTGAATTGAATTTGTCATCTGATGTTGGCGTGTGGAATTGATGATACTTGCTGGATGGGTGCTGATTCCTATTTGAAATCGAATTTTGTGTGAATGATTGCTGGGAATTCAATCCACTTCGGTGCTTGTCAAGGATTTTTGAAGGGCAGTCCATTGAGATGAAAAACAATATCGCAGTGAGCCGTTCATCAACCTAATGTAATCCAGTTTTCACTCGATTGAGTGGATTATCTCCATGCATCATCCTTTCATTCTACTAGAGTTTACTCTTATCTTTTAGATACTATTCGTTGGATCTTTAGTAACTTGAAGCAAAAATAGTCGCTCGTTGATAGATGAATCTCACGCATTTGAGTGAAAGTTTGAGAATGACAAGTTATTCGCCCATTTTGATTAGTTATCTATTTTGTCGGTTAATTTCAGCGAAGCTCAGCCTAAATTTCATCTGACTATAGATGACGATAACGTATTGCTTTGAATTTGCTGTATCACGTGTGGATTTGGGTAGCATTCTATCCATGAGATTGTTCCTGTTTCAAATTGTATTGCAATTTCGAATGGTTGATCATCTCATTGTTCATGAGACCTATTATATTAATGAATGAATGGATATGTGGGTGGGTCTGTTCGACTCTATTATAATTGTCTTTCAGATAGGCAGAACATCACTTTCAAATGCTCGGATAGGTGATCTCATATTGATGAAAATGTTTCGTGATAGAATTGTTCAACTGCCGCAAATCATTTGAGCTGAGACGATTGCTGCTGCCTCTTTCTTCATTTTTGATAGTTTTCTTGCAATTTGTCGAGAAATGTCAGCAAAATGTCCAACCGANTGATGGATAGATTTGTGTTCGTTGATTTAATAGGGCACATTGTAATTGTATCGTTACATTTTCTAATACTGAAGGTTCGAGAGGTCTTTTTTTGTTTCTATTAAATTGTCTGTGTATATTCAATCATTCCAAATTACAACTGACATGTGCAGATTTTTTCCTGTTTCTGTCGAAAATATTCACCAATCGAAATGATGATGCTGTATCTGAATTAGTACATTTGTTGCAAGTCACCAAAACATTCGACCACCTCAAACACGATTCACAAAATTATTTCTAATCAACACGACCATCGCTTGTTCATTTCAGCATCGCCTGATATCTGGCGGCCTTTTCTTGAATTATTCAGTCAAACTTGAATTCTTTTGAATGATCGTTTCTGTAGTCTTATCAGTGAATTTTTACAGATAACACATCAGATTCAGAAATCATTCGTTTGGAAGCATTAACCAAAGAGAACGTTCAGCATTCATCACTACTCGAAGTGTTCAACGTACCCGAATTTACAAGGATTCTTGTTTGCGGTAATATATCATGCCCGACAAAGAGCCTTTTCTTATATCGCCTTGATATGCCCTATCACTTCAATTGAAGCCTTATAGAGATCATTTGGTGCTCTTGAGCGTTTCCATTATCCTTACTAATAAATTCCCATTTCTGTGGTAGATGCCATATGAGGTTCTATCATTCACAGCATTGTTCCGTTCCGTCGTTATCGATACAACTTCAATAATTGGCCGTGATCAACTGATCTATGTCAAATTTGAACCAGTTACTCAAAACTGAATCTTGAGAGATGATGATCCTGAGGGAAATGCTTTTTCATAAGGAGGTGCACTAAATTAGCAATTATTGCAGATTTGAAACCACGTTTAGCACGTTTGCTGACGCCGTGTTTGCCGGCGTATTTGTTACTGGCTGCGTTCCGATACCACGATCATGCAAAGGATGAAGCTGGCCTCACCGGTCTCTTCTCTGCGGTTCATGTTGTACTCAAAGATACGGTCTCGGTATGCATTCAATTAGCTTCTGCATTCTGATCTGTTAGATTGTGTACTGAAAAGTTTTCTCGTCATCACGTGTTCGTTTCTAGCGAAATCGGATTGTGACTTGAAGTATTGGTGTGGAAGTCCTTGGCCTTACCACTGAACTGTTAATGAGATACCAAAAGCAAGAATAACGTTGTTGCTATGTGAATTGATGGTGACTAATTTTAGATGTTTTTTGTAGACGAAATATTGAATATTGGTGTTTATTTTATGGATGTTCCTCTGTTTCTTGTGCTTCCAATGAGTGATGTTTTCTTTAGCAGTTCTTGTAAAACCTCGAGAGTATTTTGTGAGCGATGATATTTCAGCGTTCAAACGATATGGATGTGCTGGCGTTATGGCTTGTGAATTCATGGCGTCTCTTCAATCTGCTTCGACAATATAGTGGCGAAAATAATGATGTTCGCTTGATTTATGGCTTCATTTCAAATGTCAAATATAAGAACACAAGAGAATACAAGATTAAGATTAAGAATGCAATAACGTCTAAGCAGTCAAGTTGTCTGGAACAATATTGCTTTGCCGAACCATCTTTTTTTAGGAGATATGTTTTGATGAGAATGTGCAATTCGGAATATTGCGTTTAGATCGATAGCAATAAATTAGAAAACAGCCGTCGATCATCGCGAATCCTATTTATTTAGTTGTAGAGGAAATAAATGGGATGCACGAAACTCTTTGAATTGGGATCAGTTCATTGAAGATTGTAAATTTTTGGTTATTAATGCTTTAAATCGGATATATGTGTTAGTGAAATAGTGATTACTTTAATTTGTTTGTGATACTCTCAAATTTGTTCTCTCTAATTTGATTGTGAAACATTCTCTAAAAATTAGTGAAATACTCTCTAATGTGTTTCAGGAGTGGTGCGTTGGTAACACACCAGAACAGAACAATCAACGAATGCAGAGTTTTGATTTGGCACCTATTCGGAATCAGTTGCGTGCTCGAGTCGAGGAATGTTTCCAGAATCTAATGAAACGAGCAATCGAGCCTGTACTCGCTCCGAAAATTGGTACGGCGAAATGTTATTGACGAATTTATCAAGTGAAACTAGAATCCATTTGTGTGTTGCTGTCAGTGTAGAAGTTTTTATCGTAATCAGTTTTATCTGATAAGTTGTTTTATCTGATAACGCATCCGTTCATATGAAATTTTTTGATTACATTTTTGCTTTCTTATTTGAATGGTGATGTTATTTAACATACGCTATATTTGCAGTGCCTGGGATATTACAACATGAGACGTCACATGAAATTATGGTTAATATGAATATGGAGGTTAATCCAAAGAAAACCTCATCAAAAGGTCAGCAAACGTCGCAGAGGGCATTGGATGATCTTCTGGAATTGGTAATCATTTTCATTCCACTTAAACGAGTCACACAAATGAAAGGAATCGTCAGTGATGGCTGCCTCTCTCCCGTGTGAAAATNTGGAATGATAAGCCTTAGTCCATAGTCGTTGAATTGAGGTGGAATATGTAATATAATGTTAATTGATATTTGCAGTTGAATTTCATACACACGAAATTAAAAGTTTATGGGGCCGATTCAGTGTTATTGAGCCAAATATTTGGGCAAATGACTTACTGGATTTACGCGTTGGCTTTGAATCATTTGATGTTCAGAAAGGAGTTGTGCAATTTCGAGAAAGCTATTCAAATTAAGTTCGTTTTTTGTTGTTTTATATTTGACATATTACCCTACATTGAATTAGATAATCATGTCGTAACATCTAAACCTCTGGATCAATCTAACCAGTGATTCTTTCGATGCATTTCTCATGGTACTGCATTAATTTTGAGGTATATTCCCAATGCAATTGATTTTTGGAGCCGTTCACTCATTCTTGAAAATGCTCACGATTTCGGACTAATCAGCTGATGCCGTGATTTAATATATCTGATTTCAATTGAATTGTAAATTGAATCACATTCTCGAGCACCAGTTAATACTATACAATTCGAAAACTTTTCTGTGGACCTAAAATTTCGTGGATCCATCGAGTCCGTTGATCAGCATTAGAAACTTTGAAACATCCATTTACTTTTCAGACATAATGTAACTGAGATTCAATCCTGGCTTTCGAGCAAAGGTTTTGGATCACATCGAGAAATATTGGAGCCACTTGTTCAAGCATCACATTTGCTGCAGTCGAAAAAAGATGAGTCAAATCTGGACACTTTATGCGGTGAAATGACATCGAAACTGAAACCGAAACAGGTGAGAAATCGTTACTTCTGACAAAATAGTGCCTCTAACGTAATCGGCACACGATACCTACTGAATAATCAGTTGCGTATTCTCATAACTCGATTAATTGTATGATTTTGTTCCATACAATTACAGGTGGTTGCGATTCTTCAACATTATGCACCGTCGGATGGATTTGAAGAAAGGCGATTAGAGCCGTCATTTTTGATTAAAGTATCTCAAAGATTAACGGAACGACTACGTGCTGATGGTGGAACTGAAGAGGATCAGGTTCGTTCACTCGTTTCACGGTCATTCATTTTCACGAAATTTCGAATTGATCATAATCGGCACTTTTGTCTAATCTGAGAATGATAGCTGTTGGTATACAGAAATGGGTGCCGGCTTTCGTTTTGGTTATGGTGTTCGAAACATAATTGATTTTCCTTTATAACATGACTGTAAGGTGAATGTGTCTATTGGAAATTCTTTTCTGATTGTATTGTTGTGATAACTGAAAAGAAACTTTTCAGAACACATTGATAGTAATGGGAACGTATCTGAAGCCGTTCGATTCGGAGCCATTTGTTCACTCTGATTTCGCGTTGGAAACTCTGTCGCTACCAACTTGTTTACATTTGCAGTCCGTTTGCAGGCTACTCTAGTTGTTTTTTATTGTGCTACTGTTCCATTGCTATGTATATGTAAAAAAAACTCATTTGGTTTGATTTCGGTTCAATTTTTACCTTGTGATCGTCTCATTTAGCATCATATTCATTACTGGATTTCTCTATAATTGCTTCGCGCTCTAATATCGTATTTGCAAATTGAATTTTTCAATGGAATGATACTCTGAAGGATTGTATATCACTGGAACAAATTTACTGGGTCACATTCGTGATCCGTTCTGTGAAAGACAAAGACTTTTGTGTTTACAAGTGGGGAAAAATATCAGTCTAAAATTATGGCTTCGACTGAAAAGTTAGCTATAACACTATGGTGTTGGATTATGAAAAAGCAATGCAGAAACAACTTTTATGATGAAATTCGATGTTGATGAATAATTTGAATGATAAATGCATGAAATCGTTTCATTCGACAAAATTTATGTCTGTACGAAAAGAAGTTTTGCGAATGTCGATTTTGGATGATTTTAAGTGAGTCACTGGTGCGTGAGAATGATATGATAACGTCATGATCGAATTTTGCATTTTGAATGCTCATCGTCATTTGTTTGTGGCTTTTTTGCAGTGTTCGTCATTATGATTGTTTTTTTGTTTTTTTTT